GTGTGGTGTGAAGTGGAAGCTGGGTTCTGTTTTCAGAACACAACCTGATGTGTGGGGTTTGAATCAATCCACTGATTTCTGTACCTCTGCTTCCACGGTGGTGTAGGCTCCTCACACTTTAAAAATGGCTTTCAGTCTTCATGGTGCTTTTATGAAGCACTATTACCTGGATTGGCTTTTACTACTCTCCAAATTACTTGTGTGTCTGAGCTCTAAGGTGCTCTCCATACCTAATTTTACAGCTGCCTGGAGATGGAATGATTCGTTCTCTACAGACAGCAGCAGAAGATATTGGAGCATCACCTAAGGTCACATGGGAAGACTGTGGCAGTAGAGATGCTCCTGGGTATAACTCAGTCACAAGCCACAGCGCCATCCTTCCAAATACTCCTGGGAGTTTTTGAGTACACTAATATATTTGATCAAGTATCTGTAATAGTTAGGCAGCAGAAGATATTGGAGCACTCACCTAAGGTCACATGAGAAGACTGTGGCAGTAGAGATGCTTCTGGGTATAACTCAGTCACAAACCACAGCACCATCCTTCCAAATATTCCTGGGAGTTTTTGAGTACACTAATATATTTGATCAAGTATCTTGTAATAGTTATGACCACATTTTTTTGCTTTTCATGGTAAGCAGGATGAAACTTTAAATTCAGTTGTGAATCCTGTTGCCATCATCTGCCTCTTGTTTGTTCAAGATCAGACTACTGGAAAATGCTCTACATGGGGCTAATTTGAAAATATCTAATATTCTAATCCAAGTAAGGTATACTTGCAGTAATAATCATTAATCGAGAGTTGAATCTGTGCAAAGGGATGAATTGAAGGTTTATTTGAGTATGACTAAATGAAAAGAAATGAAGTATTTATATATATACATATATATATAAACAACACATTCCTGAAATTAACAGGCATCTGTTGCTCTAATCATAACGTGAAACAGGTGTCATAAACGCTGATCTGTTTTCTCTCTTAGTTAGCAAAATATCTGGTTTATACAATATTCCTTCTTAGTTTTGAACTAATGGTGATGTTTTAAGGGATGAAGTTGGGAGGTGAGGGAGGGGAAATTATAATACTTGATTTTTCCGAACTCCCTCATGGTGTTGCTAATAAGTTTAACTGTGGGTTTACTTGCATGAAAAATTACCTGAAGAAAATACAAACAAATTTTGTTTTCTGAAAATAGTTCATATTCTTATACTCAAATTCTGAGACAGTGTGTAAGATCTCCAAAGTATGGTGTGGTAATAAAATGAAAGAAGTGCTCAAAGAGTTGGAAAATATTTTTTTTCTCTGTAAAAGAAAGTATTCTCTTGAGAACTGAAGTATTTTCTCTTGAGTAAAGAAAGCTATTTTCAAGAGTAATAGTCATATTACTGATACTGAAGAAAATGTCCTTCTGCCAGCCATGGCATTATCTCAGTGGGGCTTTGCACTAGAAAAATGTCATTAGCTACAACACCAGGCACCACAAGAACAAGACATGCCATGTTTTGGAGGACAAGAATTTAATACTCATGATGTCCTTCCTTGCACAGAGGAAATGGCAGTATTTGAACCTGATGATATTTTCAACACTGGAAAATGACACAGGTCATGATGAGCTGTAATTCTTGTAAGAAGTAAGTGGTGATATTTTGGCACTGAATTTTCACCAGAAAAGACAAAAAAGCACATACAGAATGTGGAAAAGAATTTGAAATTAATAAAATTAGCCCAAAATTTTGAGAGTGTGAGATTAAAAACATCTGAGAAAACCACCTGGGGTGTATGGCTAATGTAGTACCAAGGTGGTAGTGAACTTAGCTCAACCCTTCACAGTGATCAGGGAGGTGCTGCTCTGTCCTAGATGGAGCTGTTGCTTGAAGAACCTGAGTTTTACTCAGTAAATTTGGTATTAGTCTCGGCTGCAAGGTAGTCCACTTTTTATTCTGTATATTCTAATATTCCAAGGGAGGAACTTCCTGAGTTTATGAATCTGCAATGTTTGGACTATGTCTGAATGATCAAAAGAGACTGATTTGTCTCCCTCCAGTGAATTATCCCTTTCCAGAAAACCACAGTGGCTGCAAGCCGTGCTCATTTTAGATGCAGGCTCAGGCATGTTTACATATTTTCTCAGTCATTTAAAATTGGCTTTATTTTCTCTTGCAAAAAATGCATTACAGTCATTGTACCTTAATTTAAATAAGGCTCATGGGACTGTTAGCTATAGAAAAAAATAGTTTTTGATATGAAAATGTAACATCCCACTTTCTATTGTTTTTTTCTTATTGAAGATATGAAAATGTAACATCCCACTTTCTATTCAAGTTAAACATAGAAATTAAGAAAGTCTGATCAATTGTTGTGGCTATGATTTTTAACCACTTATTTAGCTTACTATTAATCCATCTTCAGCTCCATGTTCTAGTGCCTCATTTAATAATTTTATTTGTATGGAAGTCCAATTTACAAATAATCTAATTAAAAAATTAAGTTGTTCTAGTCATTCAGAGCAATAACCACAGGAAAGATGGAAGTGCAGAGAAATAGAAGTTATGTGGACAATAAAAAAATATCCTTTACATAGCTACAGATAAATGCTTAATCTTAGTTTTACAAAAACAGACTCATTCTTCAAACTGATGTATTTCAAAACATGTCAGATTTCAGAATATAATATAGTCAAGTATTACTGAAATGTGACTTGACTCAAATTGAGATAATTACAGACTGTTTCAACAATTTCTCACTTGTTTTGGCAACTGGACTCAGCTGAATGACTGCAAGGTAAAGACCAAATTCAAAATAAGCTTTTTTTTAAGGAACATGCTTGTTAAAACTTTAGCAGAAATAAGCAGAAACATAAGAAAGTTTGAAAACAGAGGAGTGACACAAAAACCACCAGCATTCTGTGCTGAACTTTTGGATTATTTTCCCTATCAAAGAAATTAATGAGATTAACATGTTGTTCAGGATAGTTTCTACACTGTGTTAAATTCCTACCTAAATGAAGGGTCATCTTAGACAGCCCAGTCATGCACTTGGAGGGATGACTGTGGGAACAGGATTTAGGTGGATGTAAGTTTATGTGGAAGGGGGTTTTGCTGAACTGATTATCTCATTGATCAGACCAATACTGCAAGAACTGCAAGAGAGTGTCCCACTGTAAAACCCCTCAGCAGAGACCCCAGCTGCAGGCTGCGGACAGACAGTCCTGCTTCTCACCCATCTGGGCAGCCCCAACTCTCACAGGATTCAGTCCAAATTTTTTTCCCCAATTTTCAGTTTCAAGCAGATTATAAATCCTTTCCAAGGTTATGCATTTTTATTTCAGTATCCAAATTCTAAAGCTGCTGTATTCACCACCTTTGTTTCCGGCAGAGCAGAGTCTGCTGCTCTCAGCTCTGTCAGCTCTGGGCTTGATTTGTCTCCAGCAATTACCAGGAAGGTGGTTGCTATGCTGCACTAATGAAAGGAGCAACCATGTTTCCTTGAAGGCAGTATAAGCAAGCATAAATAAACAAATTCTTTGTGGTGTTAATAGTGTAAATGAGATATTATTGCAACAGAGAAAGTAAGATATTAACCCGTTTTAGAGGCTGGATAGCTATCAACCTTTCAACTTTCTACGCAAAGCTTAGCTTGAGATGGATAACTTTTTTGGCAAATATTTGTATTATGAGTTTTATAGAATTTTCTCCTTCATCTTGAGGTGTCACATTTTTGTTGTGTTTGTTCTTGTTACCATATTTTTGGGTGGACGTGGCCCAGGCTGCCCAGAGAGGCTGTGGCTGCCCCATCCCTGGAGCGCTCAAGGCCAGGTTGGATGGGGCTTTGAGAGACTGGTCCAGGGAAAAGTGGCCCTGCCCATGGCAGGAGGGTTGGAATGATATGATCTTTAATGTCTCTTCCAATCCAAACCATTGTATGGTTCTATGATTTTTCCAGTGATGGTCTGTCTCCACAATTTTGCTGGTTACTGTTATATCAATGACAGGTGCATAGATGAAGGTCCATGGCCAAAGCCAGGAATATAAGTTTTAATTTTAAAAAATCATGTTATGTTGCACTGAACCTTGTCATCTCTGGTTCACTGAATTTAGCTCTAAGTGTGATTTTTTCTGAGAAGTAACCGTAAAAACTGTATCACACATTGTCGTGTTTGTATTTCAGTGACTTTGCATCAGTTTTATTCAGGATGTTGGAATTTTTTTAAAACCACCAGATATACCAATGAAGATTTGAAGGTCATGCTGTGTTTAAACTCATGTAACACCAATAAAAATGGTATTTCTGACAAATGAAATCTCATTCACCCTACCAGCAAAGCACTTCAGTGTCTAGAGCAGGCTGTGCTGTCAGATTTTCTTGAGGTGCAAGTAAATCCATTCCACTTCCAACATAAATGCAACCTCACAAAACAAGCTTATGCTAAATTATGAAATAGTCTTACAATATTAGCACTGTGTATTGCATTAAGGTGGGAAACTTTGGTGATCATACTACCTCATCATGGAACAAGCTTCCATCACTGTAACAAAGTATGGGAATTATCCTGAAGAGTGACTACTGTAAAGATACTAACCATGTGTTATTACATATCTGTAGGTAGAGGGTGTTACTTACTTGAATTATTCAGTGTCCTTTTAGTACATCTCAATATTTCTGGAAAATGCTGAGCAGTTTTTGCTAGTGGCTGCAAAATTATAACTTTTGTCTTGTTACTTGGTTAGGACAGAGATATATTTCTTTTTGGAGATACTGGGCACTGAAAACATTGATCCAGGATGAATTGAGGAACAAAATAAATGCAGCATATTTTAAAGGAAACTTCTTCTTTGCTAGCTATTAAGTATATTTGGTGTTTTAAGAGGAAAAATGGAATACCACATTGTAAAAATACATTAGTTGGACACACTGTAATTTCTTTTCTTATCTGATTTCTGATTCTGACTTAGCACACTACAAACTATTTTCCTTTTCTTCTCTTCCTTTATTTTGCAGTTAACTTTGACCACTTTCAAATATTGCGGGCTATTGGGAAAGGGAGTTTTGGAAAGGTAAGAATCAATTTATTTTTGCGCAGCTTAATGTCTAATAGGGAATACCTTTGTGTTTTTCTGGCTTGATTATGGTGAAAGAATATAGCTTTTGTAACCTTTTCCTTCTTAAGAACATCTAAGCACCAGTATGAACTGTCTCTTCATTAAATTATTTATATTATTCATTAAAAATAATTGAGCAAAAATTATTATAATAATTAATTATCCCAAATGGAGATTAGCAGAGCTTAGAAATCTGTCCTGGAAACAAAAATCAACAAAAAGGTAGGTACAGACTACTTCTTTAGACAGTCCACCAAGTGATCTTGTTCTTAAATCTCTGAGCTTATTTGTGTCTTTAAAATAATTGCAGTATTTTGAAGGCATTTTACATAGAATAAATCCTCTTGGGACTGTGTAAACTGACATACAATATAATTATGATCATTGAGTAAATGTTTGTTCAATTCAACAGGATTTTTCTGAAAGAGAGAAGATTAATGGTTTGTTTACACTTGAGCAGACAACATTTATTTCCTACTAATAGTGATTATAACAAGGTTTTAAATCTATAATATAAAGCCACATAGCCACATATAATACAAATAAAAAGCCACAAAGTCTGAGAAAATGCTATTTAAAACTATTAGAAACCACTTCTCACAGGACTACATGTGAAGGTGAAATATAAGTGATACTTGATCAGGTGACTGATCAAACAACAGCTGTCTGGCTCTTGATTTCAATGATTTCAATGATTCCTGAGTGTATGGCAGCTCAGTGCTGGTGAGGCACTTCTGTAGCCATACATTAAGAACACACAAAGGATTTTTCTGGTTCTTGGCCTCCATGCAGAACAATGACTTTAATTTTAGAGAGGCCAGAAATACTTCTTGCAGAACAGCATGGTCCTTCATGGCACAGTCCTTATTCAATTCAGTAGTTTTCAGCAGAAACCCTCTTTGAGGTCAATAGAAGTATATCCTGCTTGGGCAAAAAGGTACTTAAAAACCCCTTAAAATCAGGGCAGCAGAGATCTGTCGTTGTTTATTATCACAATACAGAGGTGGAATACCATGTCAAACTAAATGAAGGTCCAAGAGTGAAATTTATGTACAGGAAAAAAAGTAAAAGACATATCCAAATCATGTTGACCCTCACAGAGGAATAGCTACTTAGATCAGAGTTCAGCATTTTTGGCTTCAAATTGCCCACTTCTGAATTCACTTGACAAAATTTTTAATATACAAACAAAACTTGTTTCATCAGAATTTCTAACCTGCCCTCTTCCAATGTACTTGGAATTATTAGTAACAGGAATATACTAAACATAACTAATGTAAAGGTCTTCCACAAACAAACAAACAAACAAACAAACAAACAAACAAACAAACAAACAAACAATTTCCTGGATTTATGAAGACCAAAGCATAAGCAAAAAGCTGCTATCACCTTGGCAAAGCAAGGTCACTGAAGCCAGAAAGCTCATTTTACAGTAGTGCCCTGCACCTTGCTGGGGCACCACTGATCCCTGCCCTGTCTGTGCCTCTTTGGGTGTGCAGCAGACAGTACCCCAGCTCTGTGCCAGTGTCTGTCTGCCCAGACAATACCCCAGGTATTATCCCTGGGGTGTTATCTGGGCACCTGCATGTGCCTGCCCAGCAGTGTGGGAACTGCTCCATGGGTGGCCACACACATTCTGCCACAGCTTGCCCATCATTTGGCATGAACAAAAGAGCAGCCAACTTACACAGAAGCTGTGGCTGAGATGGTGCTAGCAGCCTCAGACCTCACCTCCTGTACCTGTCCCTTAACAAGGCGCAACCTGGGCTCTCAAAGGACACCTCTGAAGTGAGCTTGGTTTTTTTCAGAAAAAAAGAGCATGCTTGGGGTTACTCTACCTACCCTCCTCAAAACTGCTGTGGTGTATCTTTTCCTGAAAAATATGCAACAGTTTATAGGAGATGGCACCTGCTCTTAAGGTGTCCCTAAGAAGAACTGGGTACAGAGCAGCAGCTGAAAGCAGGTGGCCACTTGTCAGAAAAGACAACAACTTGAGATACAAAGTGTTTGGTACCAAACGGCCTAGGAGTTCCTGTGACAGCAAATGTGACTGTGAACTGGAAATGCCAAAGGCAAGGCAGGGAGCTGATTTCTGAAGCCAGCGGGGGGACAGGTGCCAGCTGCTGAGGCAGGCAGCCCCGTGGAGGAGCTGAGGTGCTGAGCATCACCTTGAGCTCTGTGCACGAGAGAGAGCTGAGCAGCACAGGGGTCTGCCGTGCCAGATACCTCCTGCAGCAATATCCTGCACAGGCCTGCGGTTGCTGTGGCAACCAGAGTAATTTAAGAAATATTGAGAGAGAGAGACAGAGATATTGTACCAAGAGCGATAAAATAAAAAAAAATAGAGCATGTCTTAAAACATCCTATTGCTCTCAGAAAACAGAAAAGGCCACAGAGGAGCCATAAAGGAAGCAGGCAGTTTAAGAAAGCGTGGTACTGAACATGGTGTTACACTCTGCAAGATGCTAGAGCACAGCAGACCCCGAGCAGTAAACACCCTGCAATAGAGATTAACAGTCTTGCATCCTTTTTTGACATTTTCTGCTGCCAGGTACTTCCAGAAGGACAATAATAGGAAAAGTTGCCAGCAACGAGGCTTCTAAATGAACAATAAAGGCAAGACTGACTCACAGAGACAGACATTTGAAATGGTGACTGATTTACCATGTTTTGCTTTTGGCTATGTTATAATAGGTCATTTTAAAATGGGCTTCTTTCTTTCCCTTGCCCATGGAAGGAAAAACAAGGTGATTTGTCAGAAGCCTGTACTCATCTGGGAAAAAGAAACCTGTTACACCAAGAACGTTCCTGTTGCATTTGACAACTGCAAAATAAGGATTTAAGTTTAGAGGGAGCTCATACTTTAAACATGTTCTCTGAGGATCGTGCAACTCTATTTTCACCAATATAGATTCCCCAAAGTGGGTTCACAAGAACCACACCTATATAAACTGTAAAAAAATTAGATATTTCTGTAGAAATACAGAAACTTTCACCAGTTTTCTGAGTGCCGTGGACAAGAGTGGATCAAAATCAACGAAGCCTTCATAAAGTAGGCTTGTTTTATTTTCCTGTATGGTGTGAAAGGATGGTTTTATTTTCCTGTATGGTGAATGCTCCTTTGCAAGGGCAGAGACAGTAGAAACAGGGACACATGATATGATAGAAGTGCTGTCTCCTGCTTCATCTGGCTATTTTTTTTCAATATTGTTATATGTAGAGCCATCACTCTTTTCAAATAAAATATTGAAAAAATTATATATTTGAAGATCATCCAATAAGTACAAAATGAACGAGGACTGAAATACAAGAATTCTCATTGTCCTTTAGTGCAACAATAACCACATAATTGCAGGGTTACTGCTGCAAAATAATTTGTATTCAGGTGTAACAACTAGTTCTCAGAGATATTATAGTACCAATTTTCTCTGACTTCTCTGTTCATGGGAGTAGTTATATTAAACAATCTAACATCCTTAAATTGAATTCAAATTATAATTTCAAGGTACAAACTCTTCTGTTTGTCTAAGACGCTGAGACACAAGACTTAGTTCTGATTAATTTGCTTGAATAAAACAGTGACTTCCTGTGATGAAGTAAAATTGAAATTACAGTCCTGTAAACCATATGGGAGCCCAGAATCATGTCTGCACTGACTGAGGGTAAATACTATGCAAAATACTTCAGAAAAAATATGCTTCTATCCTAAGAGCAACATAGCACACAACTGCAGAATATTAATATTTTTTGACAGTATTATGACCTGGTTTTTTGTTTGAGTTAATATGAAAGGATACTAAGCAGATGCTTTGGCTGCTCCAGATGTCATGTTTTGCTCAGGGGAATCTGGGAATGAATCTCCCTGTTTAAAGGAAATCCCCTGGCAGCCTAAAGACATCCATTCTCCAGCTTCTTTGAGTAAATCTTGCCAGCTCTGCTTGTAGGCTAAGACTATGAGAACTAGTTTTTCAGAGCACATGGGTAGGACAGACAAGGGAGCAGTATTTGGGTAGGACAGACAAGGGAGCAGTATTTCAGGCAGATGCTCAACAGCAGGTTCATCAATTCCCATCTGGAGTGAATCTGATTTCTGTCTTGTAGCCCTCTGTGTTGGGTGAGAGCTTCTGCCCGTGCAGTGCCACAGCCCCTTTGCTGGGCTGGGACTCCTCATGGCAGCCAAAGCTGCCCCATCTCATCTGCTGATGTGAGATGCAAAATACCACACAGGAGCATGGGGGAGTGAGCACCCCAGCTTCCAGCTCTCCACCTGACAGTGGCCTCATGCAGAGGTTCTTCTGGCTGAGGGTTTGTCCCTCTCCTCTTTTATCACCTGTTGTGAAACCACATCTGGAGGCAGTATGAGAGGTCTAAGTACTCCTGTGCTAAATTTAGACCAAAATTGACACTAAGTGCACCTTGTTCTTTCCACACCATGCACATAGCAGCTGTAAGTCTCTTCTAGTGGGAAACAGGAATAATCTGTGTTTTGCAGCAAGTCTGATATTTCAGCCATCACCATCTTTTGCTCTGGGAAGAACTTGAAGCTACCCGTGGTTGCTCTCTGCCAACACAGCTTTATGCAGCTTTCTTCAGCAATCTCCTCTGGCTTTTGCATGTGAAACCAGAGGAAATCCAAGAAGGTAGTTTAGAAGTGAGCCACAGCACATGTTGCTCGTGAAAAATGAAGCTTGGCCCTGCAGCCATAATCTATTAGCTTCCTCCCTCAAATCTGAGAGAAAGTCACTCTCTGGTCAAATTTCTTCTAACATGATATGTTTTAAGGCAGCTCACTGTTACCTTCTAGCAGAAATAACTAAAGACACCACCCTGTGATAACAACTAAGAGAAGTAAAAAAACCCAAAAAACCTTTAGAAAGGGAATATTTTCACAAAAGATTTTTAAAAATAGCACTATACCATTCCAGAGAAAATTAATGGGGTTCATAATGCCTGCCTTTAAACATGTACAACACAGATGCCTATATCCAAACTGGCAATCTACAGCCTCTTTAGGGGACATTAGAGGAAAACCATTCCAGGTTCAGAGATAGTCCCCTGTACCTCTTTAGATCCATGCCTTATGGAGATGGCTGCTGTCCTTCTCTAAGACTATGAAGCTGAATAGTTGTTGAGTTCAGAATACATGTTTGCTCTGAATCATCACACTGTCTGGCCTTTGGTAAATGATATTCACAGAAAAATGGAGAGAGTGTGAGTGTGACAGGCTTCCATACTGATACATGTAAATAAGGCAATTCTGCACAGACTTTCATCATAATGAGTCATCACGGAATTTTTTTGTTGAGGTTCCAGAGCACCTGTTTATCCCTATTTTAAAATTGCTCCCTTGCCACAAAAAAACCCCAACTTAAACATTTCCCATTAAGATTGCACATGTTAGAAGGGCTCAAGGGCTTTTCCTTTCTTTCTTGCTTTAGTGGAAAATTTCAATCCATTGATGTCCTGTTCAGGAGAAGTACCAGGGAAGGTAGAAATGCCAGGGAAGATCTCCAATATGATCCAGTGCTGTCATAGCAATGTCAGGCATTTTTCACAATAACATCAACATGGCTGCAGGTTGTGTTTCCTGGTTTTTAGTAGGAAGTAGCTTCATTATATTCATTAAAATCCTATTGATTTTGTAACCATGTTAAAGGATTTGCGTAGGTACACATTGCTAGAAAATGTTTACTATCATTCTGCTTTTAAGCTGTGTGTTAGGCAAGCTTCTACCAACAACAGAAGGTCTGTTTCAGCTGTGCTGAGCACCCTTGTCTTTACTGCCAGGTAAGAGAGCTGAGTGCTTTCTGGAGTCCCAGCAGCATTGCAAAACTGGTTTCCATTACATATTTTGGTGCAGCATATGAACTTGATTGGCCACATTGGTCAAACCTGTACTTCTCAGCTGAGTAAAATCCCATTCTCTCAGCAGTCTCTCTAGTCAACCCTTCTATAGGGAGGCTTTTAATGTAATGGACTGAGGGGCTTCTGAAAACACCTAACTCTTGGCCAAGTTGTACATGAAAATCGTGATGCAAACTAATGTACATGGCTGAATTTCTGGACTGAGGTTCTGAGCTAAAATCCCCAAATTTTGCAGTTTATAATGTGACTCACTAAAGTGGATTCTCCATATATTCTAAGACAGGATGTCAGGAATTGCCCCTGAAAATTCTGCTTATGCTTTTGAAGGACCTGTGGGAGCTTGAACAATTCATTTTCATCCCTACTTTTCCCACTCAGTTTCAGCTCAATCCCACTTGCTACTTTTTCTTCCTGCAAAAGGCAAAACACAATTCCCCATTGTTCCACAGCCAGGGTTCTTTCCATACAAATGTGGACCTTTAGTTATCTTAAGAGCATCAACAATTTTCAGATCTTTCATAACAGTCCAAGGTGAAAAATAAAACAACACTTCAGTACTCACCATTGTGCAACATTGATGGGCTCAAAACAGAATGTTATTATCCCTGTTTTTCTTAATAGCAGAACATGTCCTGATACTGGGAAAGGTAATTAGAAACACTGCTTAATCATGCCTTATCATTGTAGGTTAAAGGTGCTCTATTAACTCCTCTATTTGGAGTAGATTTGTGCTCAAGGACACACTTTATGAAAGCAGAGTTTCAGAGAAATGATTTGACTTTACTGGCCCTGTTCCTCCCAGTTTCAGCTGTGGGATGTTTGTTACTCCTGATTGTTCCTAAATATTGGGTGCATAAGTTCCTTAAACTCAGAGAGAAGGGATTTCTTTTTGGCTGTCACTGTATTGTAATCTGATCTCTTAATATGAATTTATGAGTGTATAGTGTAAATTTTTGTGGGTAAAATATGGGAGCATGCATGTGTGCATGCATTTAAATATACAAATAAAAGAATAATGCCCACACCAACTGCATCCAGAACACCTCAGAACTTAGACACTGCAGGCCTTGGATACCTAAACCAGATGTTTCCAATACATTTAGAACAATTGAGTATTTCTGTGTTACCAAAAATTGTACTTAACCTGATGCTTGGTTGTGGTGCTAGTGCCAGTCTCCAGCTCCATTCTCAAGGCAAAATATCATGACAAAAGGAAATCCAGAATTCCTGTGGAAGTTCTCTTGACTAAGATTTTCTTCATGCATTTACATTATTTGGCTTTTGTCAAAAAAAAAAAGTAAAAGTGTGGATGTTTACTGCCAGAGACTAAATCATTGTAATGGTCTCTTGTGAATTCAGAAATACTATGATGAATACCTCTATGAAAATTCTTTTCCTTTCAACAGTAATTAAGGGAGCATAATTCTGATATTTAGATGAAATATTGAGCCTTGGGAACACAGGCAAGGTTTATGATGCAGTAATCAAGATGTGAATATTGACTTGTGGGAATGAGGACAATGACTGAGCATTTTCCTAGGCAGGAGGCAGCAATTTCTCTGAATAATTAAATAGCCTGTGATTTCAGCCATTGCAGCATGTTACTCTCAGCTTTACCATGTAAGTTCTGAAAGTTATGATATTTTTCTGGGTCCCCATTTCATCTTATACAGGGTTGGGTTTTTGTTAATTTTTAATTACAGTCTATTACAAAGAATCCTGCAGAGCTGTGAAGTGAATGTGTTACTCAGTTGCAATATCCAGATCTGAATTATTGAAATATCATTAAAGACTCCTTTTATCCAAAGTCACTATTGAATTCACTTTCTCAAGGTGTCAAAATTTTTCTTTTACTTTGCTGCCAATTAGGTGTGCATTGTACAGAAGAGAGACACCAAGAAAATGTATGCCATGAAGTATATGAATAAACAGAAATGCATTGAGAGAGATGAAGTTCGCAATGTTTTCCGGGAGCTGCAGATAATGCAAGGCCTGGAACATCCCTTCCTAGTCAATCTGTGGTAAGAAAATCATTAAAATGCTTTCATGGAGCTCTCATTTTCTCCTTGTTGCAGAATCAGTTCAGAATATGGAAGGCTGGAAAGCTGAAAAGAACTTGGTGACTTCTTTTGTTAAAGGTATTAGGTTTCACAGGGAATTTTATTTTTCATTAATATTTTTAAGGTGTTTTTTTAAATTGGAATATTTAAACATCATATTCATCTGTTCATTTTTGCTTTGGTTTCTCTCCAAATTGTTACAACACTGTGTTGAAATGTGTTGTCCTGCCCCATTTGTTTTTGACAATACGTGGACTAAACCTCTCTAATAAAGCTGTGGAATATCAAATCCAACCATTAATTTTATTTTTTAAAGTTGATTCAGAGAAAATTCAAAACTCAATTACTTTCTAAAAATTACTGTCACAGGACAGTAAAAAAGTGCCTTTTTGTCACCTGGAATTTCCTGTATCTTCTCCATGCTAGACCCTGAATCTTTTGGTCACACATGATTGTGAGAAAATGCTGGTCAAGCAATGACTAGCTTCATCTACACCAGCAGATTAAAATATTTGCTGGCTCTTATGTAGTGTGATAATGCCTGCTGGCTTTTGTAGTGATTGTAGTAATGGGATGCAGAGTTTCCCTCCTTATCTAATGACCTGTGTCATTCAGAAAATGAAAAGGTGCAGGGGATATAACCCACTGCAATATGAAAATTATTCAGCCTGTGAAGAGCTTGATTGGCTGGAGATGGTTACAATGCACACTGATCTTGTGTTTTGTGAGTTTTAGCTGTCTTACTTGAGGTCACTGCCCAACCTACAGTGTTCTGCCCATCCCTTAGCTCACTCCTGGTGCCAGGTTAGCACCTTTCACAAATTAAAAGCCAAGTTGTGTTGTCTTGAGTGAAAACAGCTTTAGTGTAATTGCAATTTAATAGAAAGCATTTGAACCCAAAATTGACTCCAAATTAGGTCCAAAAGGACCTAATTATATACATACATATGTGCTCTTCACTTGATATGAATGATCTGAGCTAATCTAGTACCCTGTTGAAGGCTTTAAAAAAATACATCATTGTGACTGCAATACAAAACTTTCCCAGTATATTTTCCAAGGTTCCAGCAAGCTGTAGTCCTGGTATTTCTCTGTCAAAGATATGGTATATATCTTAGGAGGCTGTGGAGTTCTCTGTTATGTGTTTGTCTACCTTTTTTGAAATCCCACACACTTTTGTTCTTTATCAGGAGGTGTGGAAGTATCCACTGTGTAACTAGACACTGCACAGAAACAGTCATAGGTTAATGTGATCTGAGAGATAAACATAGCAGTGCTGAAAGACTGAAGATCAAATATTTATTGTGAAACAAAAAGAATGCTAGATTCCCATTACTGAATTATACTCAGATAATAAATATTCTTTCTCATTTTCTTTTTCCATGCCAAAGATTAAACTTGAAATAAGAAATACCTTAAAATGCACTGGGCATTATGATGCCTTTTATCCTTCCTGCACTTCTAAGATACCATCACAGGATATCAAGACTCAAATGTTATACTTTATGTGTGTATGAGAAATGCAGAAAATGAAATATAGTACGCTAGAGTTGCAAAATATTTCAGGCAAACAGGACATTATTCAAGATACTTCAGTGAACTAACAATGTTTTATATTTGCTGTCTCTAGCAATGGTTATAGTTGACCAGTCTGATCTCTTCACTCTCCTGATTGGTGACAGGACTCAAGGAAAAGTCATGAAGTCGTGGCAGGGCAGGTTTAGGTTGGATATCAGAGAAAGGTTTTTCACCCAGAGGGTGTTTGGGCACTGGAGCAGCTCCCCAGGGAAGGGGTCACAGCAGCAGCCTGACAGAGCTCAGGAATCATTTGGACAATGCTCCAGGCACATGGTGTGACTCTTGGGGTGTCCTGTGTAGGGCCAGGAGCTGCACTCGATCCCTGTGGTCCCTTCCAACTCAGGGTGTTCAGTGGTTCTGTGGTTTTGTACGAGGCTCTATGACATTCAGGGACTCAAAATAATACAATTAGAATTGTAGAAATTTTTCAAAAAATACTTTAATTGGCCTTTATTATTTTCACCTGAAGTGCTCACCTCAAACACTGCTCTGACTCCAGAGTGAGATGCTGAACTGCTGGAGAACCTGTATTTCACCCTGGGACAGCAAAGGGAAATCTTGAGCCTGAACCTTCCCAAAATTAACCTAGTCTACCCTGAATAACTCTTTCCTTGTATCAGGCTTAAAATATGTTTCTATTAAAAAAATAGCTTTGAACAATCCTAAATTAATTTTAATTAATTTGTTATATATTTATGGAGTGTCTACACTTGCAGGCTACAGTAGAATTTTCCAGACCTCTGACTTCTCTGCCTCAAATTTCAGCTGAATTTCAAGATATTCTACTTGAAATTATCTTCAAATAATGAATCTTATCTTCAAATAATGAATTATTATTATCTTCAAATAATGGATTATCTTCAAATAATTATCTTCAATATATTATCTTCAAATAATGAACTTTGTTATTGAACTGCAACAAAGGCAAAGAACAAAAATCATAAATGATCCATGAATAATGGTCACATCTGTTCAAGCCATATGAAGCTTTTAAACATATTATGTTTCATTTATTTAATATTTGAAACTACATTTTTATTTCTACCATGGGAAAAGGAACACTGCAAGTATGAATGGAATAGTCATTAAATATGTTGTTCCCAGAAATAATTTCTTAAAATAACATTTTCATTGATTGTTGGTGAACTAGAACTCTGTTTAATGTATTTCTACTTGCAGTTTAGATGCAATAATAATTTGCATCAAATACATTTACACTGTAGTTATAACTTATATTGGATGATTGGCACGAATCCATGAGTTTTGCTCCTATGAGTCAATTCCTGACACAGTAATGGAAGGAAACAGTTGAATCTGCATTTCTTCTGTAGTAATTGCAGCTAGATTAGTTTCATTTTTCAGAGCTAGATTTTACTGTTTTGTTGATTGCACTGTAAATGTACAAAGGAACTGTAACAGGAACTACTAAGCCTGCATTTTTTCAGAAACTGGAATATTAATCTAACAGGGAACAGTAATGTCATGGTGTAAGGGGAATAAGATCACTTCAGTTTGTTTAAATGCCAAAGTTCTTTGGCCTAGTCTCTCTTGCAAGGCTTTATCACACTCTCTTAGGGTTCATATCAGTTTTTAGAAATCCTGTCAAAAGTAAGATTTTGGTGACTAAAATAATGAAATTAAAATATTTTCATTTTTTCATAAAGTATAATTTTCTGTAAGAATAATTCAGTGTCCTATTTTTTTTTTCATTATGATGAATTGAAATTAAATCCTACATATCTCAACTGAAAATGTCAAATCCTAAATCAATATTGAAAAGTATATTTGGAGGAAATTCCATCATGGTAAGCTTTTCATGAGTTTGTGGTACTTTCCCTGATGTGAACAGCTGATTTTCAAAAGTTTATCATCTGTATTTCAAAATAAAATTAAATTAGTAACAAATCTCCTAACAGCTCCTTGAATATACTAATCTATCTTTGAGAAATTACATGACCAAAAATAAAAGCTGGCAGTTTAAGAAACAAACATGAATACTGGAAAGTCCTTTAGTTTTTCATGATAACTGAAGAAAGTAATGAGATGTGTGTATACAATCCTTCATCAGTTAAATTCTTGTGAGAGAACAAGAAGAGGGAAGAAAGTAAATGTTCTGTGGTGGGTGGATCTATCAGCAGCTACAGTTTATACAAGAATACAGAGAAGCTCATACAAAACAAGGGTAGCATCTCAACTCTGAAAGATCTCTATTTAAGCCTTTTGAGGCTCATGCATCTTCTCTGAGCTTTATTACATTTAACTTCATAATCTCAACTTATAAATCACATTATTTGAAGTATGAACTGTCTTTCATAACATCTGACACAGAAGGAATCATTCTTCTGTAAATGCTCATAAAAGCTTGGAGGATAACAGTGTTTTTCAGGAAGCGTTTGAGGTTGATTTATAACTTTCATTTTAGAAATGAAATTGAATAAATGCTTAAAGCCACTTTTATCACCATTAGAGGCATTTCTGATAATAGAGATTCCTTCTTAAAATAAAATGCAGTCCTGTTTTTTATCACACTTTTTTTTTCTGTCATGGGCATTTCAAGCACAGATGAATGGGCTGTAGAAATGTCAGCTGCCAACTCGGTCCCACCTGGAGTCTGTTCCTCCCTGATAGTCAGCATTTCATCCATGTTCATCCTTCCCCAGATATGTGAGTGTCCCCTGGGCAAGATGAGTGGTGTTTCTTTCATGTTTTAAATACATTTCTTACAACATCCATTGGGACTGAGCCAAGAGCCAGGTTACTTGCCAGGTACCAGTGCAGGTAGATTTGGTGTTATGTGCCTTTTCCTCACTCATGATGAGATGTTTGAAGCATCCACTGGCTGCTCTGAAAACAACATGGCTTACCACAAAAAAACAGATTTTTCACAAAAAATCCCATGTATCAAAGTGGTTTCCTCATCTTGCTGATGAGGAACTGAAAAAAATGAAAAGAAATTGGACCATTTCTCAAAAGTTTCGAAACATTAAAGTGATCTTATTTTTAATAGCCTTGCAAAAATTTTTTAGATTGCCAGAACTTTTTGTAAAGCAATGGGGGAGAAGGATAACCATGTTCTTTTTTCAGCTTAGGTAATTTTCCTGGTGTAGACAAAATAGAATGTTTGGTTTATTTAACAAGCCACGAAGTGTTAGCTGCATTCTCTGAGTGGCTATATACTGTGATGTATTTTTCTTTTCACTTATCAGTCTATGGAAACTGCATGTATTCCATGACAGACCCACAGAAGTACCTTGCTGTTGCCAGCTACAGTGAGACTTAAGTTTCAAATCCAGTGAAAACTGAAGAACACACATTGCAGTAAAAAAAGTTCATGGATTTCTGAGTTAATCTAATACCTCAACATGTCTTCAAAAGAAAGAGGC